ACTCCATGAAATACACGCTAGTGGTGGATGAGAATACTACTCTGGAACTAGTCAGCCTCAGAAGGTATGCTCTGATGTTTGAACTGTGTGGAAGCTGAGAAATAAATGGCACGTGTGTTTAAAATTAGGATTTTAATTTGCATAGTTCTTTAAGGGTTTCTTTGAAATGTTTTCATTGAAGTACTTCTGAATGATCTGCTTCTAGTTACGAATCATGCCGTCAGTACTTGTGGATGTCTAGCCGTAACGGGCGAACTTCATCCTATCAGGTGCACCTCCGTTCTGAGTGATGACAGCGAGCTGTCCACACTGTGCGACGAAGAGCCTTTGGAGACGAGCGTGTTGAACTATGGTCGGGAGGATGAGGAGTTGAGGCCAGAACTTCTCAGTTCTTCTGAGGACTCATCTCCCGAGGCTGACCTCCCATTCTCCAAGAAGTTCCTCAACGTGTTCGTCAACAGCACCTCCCGCTCCTCCAGTAAGTTGCGCATAACCCTTCATCCTTCATTTAAAAAAAAAGAGTAGTTTCATTGAAACAGTGTAACTGGTGTCTGTTTACGGTGCAGGCACAGAGTCCTTTGGACTTTTCTCCTGTACCATCAATGGAGAGGAGAGGGACCAGACACACAGGGCAGTATACAGGTAAGGACCCACAGTACATTCATATTTAATAATGGAAACTCAATTGCTGCATCAATCAGATTTATAATAAACTCGAGACCGGTGTGAGATCATCTTGCGGTAGACTCACACCGGCATCTTCTCCACAACGTACCTCATAAATTCCCGGGTCCTCGCTCAGACCACTCCTATCTTCAGGTTAAGATAGGAGTGGTATATATTTTGATATCAACAACACTGTAAAGCGCCTTGCACGTTTTCCTGCCGTCACGCGCCCACAGAGAAAAAAACACCTGGCAGATCACTCAATACTGCTTCTGCAGTGTTTCCAGTTGCAAAGGGGACCAACACTACTACTTTCGAGCTTCACTACTTGTGTTAGAGAGGAGAGCAGATGTCCAAACTACAGCTGAGCTCGAGCGCTGCTAATCACATCAGCCACCTGTCTGTGCTTGAGTGTTGGCGAGCTAGTGGGGAAGCTACATGCACCTCCATGCATGCATGTCCATGTTGTGAATGTATAATTATGTATTTGCTTTCCTCCCTGCACTCAGAGGTCATTGTCTCCCTCCACCCATCCCACAGACTAACTCTGTCAGCTGTTTCATCCCTCTTCTCTCTCGGAGAAACCGGAAACTCAAAACAGATGCTTCCTGATCAAATTACCTCCACTCTATAAGACATCCGACAGCAGTGTGCCATGTAAGGACACATTTAACAGAGGTTTTTTGTTTTTTAGTCCTCCTTCTCTGCTGCTCCCTGCAGGTTCATTCCAAGACACGCAGATGAGCTGGAGCTGGATGTGGATGACCCTCTATATGTGGAGGAAGAAGAGGATGACTACTGGTACCGAGGCTATAACATGAGGACAGGGGAGAGGGGCATATTTCCTGCCTTTTATGCCAATGAGGTCATAGGCCAGTCTAAGGAGCTGTTGGGTGAGCTGACACATCTACGGCCTTTTCCTCCGCATCTCTGTGAAGGTCGAAAGAGTCTCATTTACATTATTTTGCGTGTCCACGTTGCTCTCCGTAGGAATGAAACGAAACCCAGCATGGATCGAGACTTTCGGCGTTCAGTTTTTGGGGTCTGTTGAGGTTCCTAATCACCAAGGCAACGGCATTCTCTGCGCCGCAATGCAGAAGGTAAGCTAAGTAGAAAACAACAAAACACACTGCAATCGAACGAAGTAGACCCAAACATGTACGAAATACTGTGTGCACCATTAGGGAATGTTTGTTTTGACACGTTAAATATCTTCTGTTAGATTGCTATATCGAGGAAACGGACAGTACATGTGCGACCTCCTTCTCTGTGTGAGCTGGAGATTAGCTTGCAAGGAGTGAAACTGATCATGAGCCTGGAGGATGATTATGACGCCCTTGATGAGGTATAAAAAACAAATCATAAAAAAAATTAATTGTTGAGATTTTATTCAAAGTCAGACTTTGATTTAAGATGGAAGAATGTTGCATTTATGTTTTGTTTCTTTCTTCCTATCTGTCTCTGATAGTATGACAGATGCAGTCACTTCTTTCAGATGAAAAACATTTCCTTCTGCGGATGCCATCCGAGGAACAACTGGTAAAGAAATATTGTTTTTCGGCCCTCGGTGTCAGCAGCGTAGCGTGCAACATCAGACTGATATCCTTATATTGTACTATTCTCTCTGCAGCTACTTTGGCTTCATCACTAAGCACCCGATGCTGAACCGATTTGCTTGCCACGTGTTTGTATCCCAGGAGTCCATGCGACCTGTAGCAGAGTGTGTTGGGTAGGTACAAATGTCATTATTAGATGGATTACTTTAGTCAAACATAAAACAATGCACATTAATGTCTTGTTTCTATCAATCTTTTACATTTGATATATTTTGCTAACAGGTATTGAAAGAGATTGCAGGTCATGTCACTACAGGATTTATTGTCTTCTATTAGCGTGCAGGTTTGTCTTTAAGTCCATCTGTCATTTCCACAGACGCGCCTTCCAGGAATACTACCAGGAACATCTGGAGTATGCCTGCCCCACAGAAGACATCTACCTGGAGTAACAAGTGTTGCCATGACGACCACCTCCTTTCTTCGCAGCTTGTGTGTGTTCATCAGGTTTGCCAGCAGAGGGCGCTGTCAGTGGGGTCTTCCCTCCATTGTAAAATACTCCTCTGTGTCCCTCTAAAACGTAGTTTCTACAGTATGCTAGGCTTTTGACTGACTTGATTCGTCCCCCTCTCTCTTTGTTTATATCCATCGTCTAGATGGGTTTACTGCCTGTTCCTTTGACCTTTTTCTATGTTACACAACTAAGATGCCGAGCACCTGTTTATTTAAAGGTTCCTCTTTCAAAATGAATACAATATACCTACTACTGCGATTTTACTCTGCATGGCTAGTAGGGTTACGGCACACAGATACACTAAGAAATACACATATCCATGAGAATGGCAAGCAGCTCAACAATCAGTACAGGAATGGTGTAGAATCAAGAGGTCGGAGTTTGATTAACTGTAAATATGTATTTGTTCAATATTGACAAACTGCTAATTTGATTTCTACCGATAGTGACATTGGAGCAATGTAGAGAGAGTGCAGTGAACTGTCCTTGGTCCAAGCTTTCCCTTGTGTCGCGTACAAGACGTAGTGTGTGTTCTAAATACATGTATAGGAAGTAGACATCCAGACGACTCATCCAGGCTAATTAAGAAACACTCACAGATGATACTGATGGAGGATTTGTGTGGTTGTTGTGAGTATTGGTGACTCACTTTGACAGGAGCAACTGCTGGTCTAAGATATTTTAAAGTACTGATCTGTGAGTATCATTGACCACGCAGATAACTTATTCAGGGTGGATTAAGGGCAGTGCAGTCAGCACATTTGGATCATGTGACAGAACCATTGCAATTTTGTCCAGTCCTCAAAGTTAAACTGCTTGCTGACTTTCACATTGGGGAGCTTTCTTTACAAATTATTCAACTGTTAAATTTTGCAAATCATAGATCACGTATGTTTTGCTATGATGGATTTGAGTTTCAGGTCAAAGACAGCAAAGGGACAATGAAAAGCCATATTCTTACTCGTCCGGCGGGTTAACTCTGCTTGTCAGTGACGTCCTAGGCCTCCCTCTTCTTTCCACCCAACAGTCTCAATGAGGGAAATGGAACGACTAACAGTTAGCCGCCACGTGCCCGTAATTCTGTTTTGCAGTGTGCCTACTGTAGGAGAGCGTCCGGTCTAATACCTGGTATCACAATGTAATCAAACCTTTAATAAAGCATTAAATGGGAGGTTTTATAGTTATGTAAATGCTTAGACTTTGATCTTGTTTTTTTTTTTTAAGTATGATGGATAAAAGGGATGGAAACATCCTCCCACTGAGAACAATCGTTTACTGTTCTCAGTCCGGTTAAAAGGTTGAAGCATCATTCACACAATAACAATAGCTTACAGTCCAGCACCTTAAAAACAGAGGAGGGGTTATGTTAAACAACTAATGCACCCACTACTGTCATCGGAAATATCAGGCTTTACCGCCCCTGACCATCACCGATGTTCTTTCAGACACTGTTGTCTTGTTCTGCTGCTCTCAGTCATAGTCCACAAGAACACACACCTCAGTTCACTGTTGATATGGCAGAGGGGGGGGTTATCTGCAGATGTATCGCTGTCACTTAGATTATGTATATATAATAGATAACCTAAGATAGTGCTGTGTCTTTTACGTTGAGTATGTTATGAAATGATTATGTACATTAAAACAAAAACAAAAAGAAATTAAAAAGGAAGGATCACAACCAGACAAAAACCCCTGAAAGAAAAGAACATCGAAATCGGTGATCTGCAATAATTTTATTTCAGTCTTATGTTTGAAACTGGTGGCGTTTGGGTTCCTGACAACTCTGCAGACAGGCTTCAGCGGTACATTTAGGACACATTAGTTAGATGTGACATTATTAGTGAGACCAGACCATTGACCTAGCTGCCGATTATTGCAATCACCTTTGAGCTCCAACAATGTGAAGGATCACTGGTCTGTGTCTTCTTCCTTCTAATTCTGTTTTTCGCTTTCATCACAGCCCAGTTAAAGACCTTCTTTCCACACAGCTACACAAAAAAAACCTCTGAGGACGACCTAGTCTCATATAGCCACTCAGACATACACAGGTAAACCAAACTTTTGACTTTAATACATTACCGAGAGTCTTCACTGTATATCTAGAGCAAAGCATTGTGGCAGACCAAATATATCCTATCTTGTATCTTTAAAACCAAGGACTTGTAAAATTAGTTAAAATTCCAGGGAAAAACAAAGAAAAAAAATGACAAAAGAATCACTCTGCCTTGTCATGGGTTTGGTCTTATAAATAAAATATATGCTTGATGTCCGACCTTTTTTGTTGTCTTTATTGTTTGGATCCGCTCTTTATTAGTTTATGTACAGAGAATGTGGAGGTGAAAAGGTGTAAATAATAAAAAATAGTATGGGAATAATATTATACTTAACATTTCCCAATCTGGTCCATATAAATATTAAAGAAATCCTCTCTTCACTAAGGAAACTGTTTGCAAAGTTAAAAATCAGCCGTCACAGAACAGTCTTCAAGCAATAATCAGTGCAGCACCTGTAGCGCGTCCCACACCTTCAGCCGCTGCGTGTTGTCCCATCAACACTTGCAGCAGCTGGGCTTGGGGCTACACTGAGGATTGCAGCAAGGTTCCAGGTTTGGGTCCGATCCTTTGGATATCTGGCTTTCTCCAAACTCCATGGAGGCTTCAAACTGCCCCTTCACTTCCATGATCCTCTCCAGCACGGCTTGCAGGTCAGGATTTCCCATCAGGGGGAGAGGGTAGCGCTCTGAGGGGTCAGCCTCCAGGTCAAATATAAGAGGGGGGTTGTGGGCCTTGAGGGCTGTGAATACGGAGCAGTCTTGGTCTGGAGTAGTATCACTGTGGGTGGCACCTGACATGGAAAAGAAGCAGGAGTCAAAAACCAAAACACCTCTAGTCTGACTGGGTGGTTGAGCTTCTTGAAATGTCAGCGAATTGGAAATATGAAGCCTCCCGTACCTCGTGTATAGAAGTGGGCCTTGTACTTCCCCAGCCTGAGAGCAAACAGGCCAAACTCTTTGCTGGGATCCGTCGGGTAGAACATCATCACCTCCCTTTTACTCTGCAAAAGAATGAACGGGATTATGCTGCATTCGCATGGATTCAAGCAGACTGAATGCAGCAGACCGGATATCACGTTAGTGGACGTGAGCAGGGTCGATACAATATTTGATCTTTGCACGGTAACGTTTGTAACTTTGGACATCCTCTGCAACGGAAATTACAATTGGATGTCATGCAGCTCACAGCTCCCAACGTGGACACGTTTGTTTGTAATTTTGCCAAACAGCTACATCTTATTGCTAATAGAATTAAATAAAATAGCCGGAAGTAACAATACCATATATTTTATTCTATCAGCACAGAAAAAATATGTGTGTTTTATTTTAATGTCCTGTACAAATAAATCAGCTTGGTTTTGTATAATTTCAATCTCTTCAGAGGGTGAGGTAAGGCGTTTACCTTTCCTTGGTTGACAAGAATTTCTGTCATGTCGACGCCATCCAGCATCACTTGGGGAAGTTTGGCTACTGCCAGACTTGCAATGGTTGGGAGGACATCTAGAGTGCTGGCCATCTGATGAGTCACACCTAGAGAGACGCATACAGACAAAGAGCAAGCAGCAATAACTAAAAGGCTGACGTATATTGGTTTTGTGGTGTCTTTCTGAAAATAAGACAGTGGTAAAGTTTAGCTTACGGACTGAAATAAGCAAAAACACCAGTAGGGCTTTTGAAAGGGGAGTATACACCAAGTGCAAAACTCTGGTTTAGTGCAACAGGAAAAAAAATAATAAAAATGTTGCCGTGACAGCGTCACTGAGCCTAAACTTCCTGTGCGGAGGAATGAGGAGTCCACACCTGGCATGATGGTCCCTGGCCAGTAGGCGACGGCTGGCTCTCTCATGCCCCCCTCATACGTGGTGCCCTTTCCACATTTTAGAGGCCCGGAGTTTCCTCCGCGGGACATGCGCATCAGTTCAGGCCTAAACATGGAGACAAGAACAACACAACATTTAGTGAATGACGTTACAGGTATAATCACAACAAGGCAAACACATAAAAACGAGGGCAAAGATGTAATATAATTTGACAAAAACATAATGCTGTGTCACAGCTAGGAGGAGGATCTTAACACGTCTCCATAAGAAAGAATAAAAGGATTTGCGCATTTAGAAAAAAAATCAAAACGCAACCCATTGTCTGAAGTGAAGAAGACCAGTGTGTTGTTGATCACTCCTGTCTTCTCCAGGGTTGTCATGAGGTTTCCTATTGTGTTGTCAAATTCCAAGAGAGCGTCTCCAAACGGGCCCCTCAAAGAACGCCCAGCCGCCTCTGGACCTGCGTACTGGGGGTAGTGGGTGTGCTGTAGGAAGAAGTAAAATAATGCGTTTACGGTCTCGCTGCACCAGCCGTTTACATGGGTTTGAAAACTCACATGGACAAAAAGCACTTAAAAAATATACATCTTTTTAACCCTTTCAAGAGTTAAACTGACCAGGAGAGGGCTCTGATCCCGCCCTGATTGTAAATGTTTTGCTCACTCGAGGAGTAAACCATCAGAGACCGTCTCTTTTGCTTACATGGGAAGGATAGTAGAGGAAGAAAGGTTGTTTTTTCTTGGCGGACGCAGCGATGAAACTGGTTGCAAAGTCGCTGTAAGCTCTTTCCAGATTGATGAAGTCGACTGGCTGCTGCTTGATGACCTCATTGTGCATAAGTGGGACTGTTACAGTTCCCACATCACACAATCCAAAACACTTGACATCTGGAGGGAAACAAGTGAGGTTCTGACAGGGGCCCTGAGAAAGAAAGAGGAGAAAAATAAGAAATATTAAATAATAAAGAAATTGCTGAAAATAAATAACAAAACAATATTTTTCAGATTACTCGCTTTTAATCCTTTTAGTTTGCCACTAATTTCAAATGCACTGACCATGTCATGGGAGTAGGGGATCCCCAGGTACTGATCAAACCCCTGTTTGGTCGGAAGAAACTTCCCGTTGGCCCCGACTCCCAAGTGCCACTTCCCCATCGCAGCAGTAGCGTAGCCCAAAGGTTTCAACACTTCTGCAATGGTGGTCTCATTTAGAGGAAGGCCCCCCCTGGAGCCCGGGTACAACACTCCCGGGTAGATCCCCGAGCGGGTCTGATAGCGGCCCGTCAACAAGGATGCCCTGGAAACAAAGCAGGGTTGTTATTAAAGAGAGTTATGAAGGACTGGAGCGTGTATAACGGGTGTCGACTTGTAGGTTCAGTTTGGAAATACCAGGGCTAAAATAATGCATTGCTCTAAGTTACAAATCACTGATTTACAGCGTCTCTTGGAGCGTGGAGATACTCATCTCAACCATCCGCTGCTACGTAAAGAGAAACTGGGAATTAAGAATAAAACAGATTAAACTGAAAACAGTTCAGAATACCCTTACATTTATTTACATTTCCCAGGGTGAAGCATCACATTGTGTTGCTCAACAGCCCTGACCTGCTGTGTCTTAACACGTTTAACAAGCCTGTGCTGCGGTTGATTCATTTTCATTTAGTTTTGTCACTGTTTTTCGGTGTAACGTGTAACTGCCTTCTGACTCCTTTTGCACACGGGACGTTGCCCCGCAAATGAAAACCGACCTACCTGGACGGGCTGCAGACGGGGCTGGTGCAGTAGAACTCTGTAAAGCGGAGTCCTCCCGCTGCCAGGCGGTCCAGGTTGGGAGTGAGTGAACTGGGGTGTCCGTAGCAGCCCAAGTCCCCGAAACCCAAATCATCAGCGAAGAGGAGGATAAAATTCGGCGTTGAAGCCAAGCAGGTGTAAAAAAGGAAAGCTGTCAAAAAGTAGAAGCGGGTGTTTTCCATTCTGCGTCGTCCTGCATCTAAGTGAAGCTAAAAGGGGGCTGGGCCGGTTGAGAGGAATCACAAACCCGAGAAGAAAAATGTCACGTGTTCACTAGCAGAAACCGTCGCGTCTAGTTGACGTCACGCAAGGCCAGGAAACGTAGTCCGGACCAGTCCTCCCAATTCAGGCAAACTAATGTTATTCACAATGACGGTAATTGTGCATTACCTTATTTATGTGGAACAAGTTGGACTCCTCTCGTATTCCGCAAGGAAGGTAATGAAAACGTTTATAATACTCACAGTAGTGCAGCTGGACTTTTTCCAGTGTCTGTGGGAGGACAAACATACTGCCCTCAATGTCAACTGTTTTTGCGACCCGAATGAAATTGTTGGTCTGAGGGCCTGCGGCTGAGTTTATGTCCTCTGTGGCATCCTTGGTTTCTGGCTCTAATGAGAAACTGACGCATGAACGCATCAACTGCGTAAACAAGGTTAGGAATGAGTCACTGGTGCAATGCTACAAGACATGGACGTCACGGCTGATGTACTCATGCACAGACTGTCATCCAGTTCTGGGCTTATTCATCTATATTTTTATTTATTCTCAGTCAAGCGTCAGTGAATTGACCAGGCTTCCACCTGCATCCAAATACACTGGCACTGTGTGTATGAGAGTGAGACAGTTGCAATGTGATGCATGAGAAAGAATACATGGAAATCTCTACACAAGTGTCATCTGAAGCACCAGAAAACACTCAGGTGATTCTTAGGTGATTTTATGCAGTGAAGCAGACACCTGAAACAAAGTCAGTTTGCCTGTAATGGCTGTTGTCTTTGGTCCCGACAAGTTATGCAATGCATCCATTGTATAAGAACTTTTTACCCCCAAACCCATTTTTGTTTGTGTGTAAGAGAGAATGAGAGAGATAGGGCAAGAGGAAAGGGAGATAAAATATAGAAAGAGGCACCTGATCCAACTGTTGCGGCAACTGCATCAGCTATTTGACTTCTCGCTTAAGTCTGGATTAATATCAAACCCATCGAACAATCTATGGATTTAAAATAGCCCTGGCCCACTTGTACACAAACATACGTATGCAAACATGCATAGGTGCATAATACAATTAAGTTGTTAACTGTGGGAAAGCCAAAGATTAGAACATGATCACTGAGCTTTTGAATAATTGCCTTGCCGCAGGAGGTCTCATCTAATAGTCTGAAACCCTGAGTTCTGAAAACATCCCTGCAGGAGACATGTTCTATTAAGCCTGGAGGTGGACTGGGTCAGCTGGACTGCTCTTCCCTTCCCCCACATAGGTGTTGATTTCATTTATCTTGTAGCTTTCAGAACCCAAAATGTGGTTGGATTCAGCAAATGCTAGTACCAACATCTTGAAATAAGGCTATGTATGTTAGAAAATCAGTAAAGGTACACTAAGAATAGTATATTTGATTTGTTACAAAGAAAAGAATAAGAATTGGTTTCCCAATATGTATAAAACGTTGCTCTACTTTAGCATTCAATGCGATTTCAATATTCCTGAAAGAAGGTTAAATACTGTGGAATTTACAAGGGAAAAATACCATATTATGCTTAAAATCAGTAATGTAATACAAATACAACTATAAATGTGATAGGCTTTCTTAAAGACATGACTAGAAATGCATTTGTTTCCCTTTATTGTTTTTAAGTTTTATAAGTGATTAAAGTAATACAACATACATTTACCTCTAAAAGCAGAGGAAGGAAAGTAAAAGTCTCACAACACTGGACATCACTTAACCGTTCAGCCAATTCACCATACACCGCTCGTCGGCAACTCGGTTTGTGCGCTCGTCGGCAACTCGGTTTGTGCGCAACTCGGTTTGTGCGCCCGTCGGCAACTCGGTTTGTGCGCAACTCGGTTTGTGCGCCCGTCGGCAACTCGGTTTGTGCGCATCTCGGTATGTGCGCCCGTCGGCAACTCGGTTTGTGCGCAACTCGGTTTGTGCGCCCGTCGGCAACTCGGTTTGTGCGCATCTCGGTCTGTGCGCCCGTCGCCACCTCGGTTTGTGCGCTCCTCGGTATGTGCGCCCGTCGCCAACTCGGTTTGTGCGCATCTCGGTATGTGCGCCCGTCGGCAACTCGTTTTTTGCGCAGCTCGGTTTGTGCGCCCACCGGCAACCCGGTTTGTGCGCAACTCGGTTTGTGCGCCCGTCGGGAACTCGGTTTGTGCCCAACTCGGTTTGTGCGCCCGTCGGTAACTCGGTTTGTGCGCCCATCAGCAACTCGGTTTGTGCCCAACTCGGTTTGTGCGCCCGTCGGCAACTCGGTTTGTGCGCCCATCAGCAACTCGGCTTGTGCGCAACTCGGTTTGTGCGCCCGTCGGCAACTCGGTTTGTGCCCAACTCGGTTTGTGCGCCCGTCGGTAACTCGGTTTGTGCCCAACTCGGTTTGTGCGCCCGTCGGCAACTCGGTTTGTGCCCAACTCGGTTTGTGCGCCCGTCGGCAACTCGGTTTGTGCGCAACTCGGTTTGTGCGCCCGTCGGCAACTCGGTTTTTGCGCAGCTCGGTTTGTGCACCTACCGGCAACTCGGTTTGTGCGCCCACCGGCAACTCGGTTTGTGCGCATCTCGGTTTGTGCGCCCGTCGGCAACTCGGTTTGTGCGCATCTCGGTTTGTTTGCCCGTCGGCAACTCGGTTTTTGCGCAACTCGGTTTGTTTGCCCGTCGGCAACTCTGTTTGTTTGCCCGTCGGCAACTCGGTTTGTGCGCCCAACGGCAACTCGGTTTGTGCGCAACTCTTTCTGCGCAACTCTGTGCGCCCGTCTGCAACTCGGTTTGTGCGCCCGTCGGCAACTCTGTTTGTGCGCAACTCGGTTTGTGCGCCCGTCGGCAACTCTGTTTGTGCGCAACTCGGTTTGTGCGCCCGTCGGCAACTCTGTTTGTGCGCAACTCTGTTTGTGCGCAACTCGGTTTGTGCGCCCGTCGGCAACTCGGTTTGTGCGCAACTCGGTTTGTGCGCCCGTCGGCAACTCGGTTTGTGCGCAACTCGGTTTGTGCGCCCGTCGGCAACTCGGTTTGTGCGCAACTCGGTTTGTGCGCCCGTCGGCAACTCGGTTTGTGCGCATCTCGGTTTGTGCGCCCGTCGGCAACTCGGTTTGTGCGCAACTCGGTTTGTGCGCCCGTCGGCAACTCGGTTTGTGCGCAACTCGGTTTGTGCGCCCGTCGCCAACTCGGTTTGTGCGCATCTCGGTTTGTGCGCCCGTCGCCAACTCGGTTTGTGCGCTCCTCGGTTTGTGCGCCCGTCGCCAACTCGGTTTGTGCGCATCTCGGTATGTGCGCCCGCCGGCAACTCGGTTTGTGCGCATCTCGGTATGTGCGCCCGCCGGCAACTCGGTTTTGTGCGCATCTCGGGTATGTGCACCCCGCCGGCAACTCGTTTTTTGCGCAACTCGGGTTTGTGCGCCCACCGGGCAAACCCGGTTTAGTGCGCATCTCGGTTTGGTGCGCACTCGGTCGGTGCAACACTCGGTAATTGGGTTGGCACCCAATTCGGCAACTGCGGTTTATGGGCAACTCGGCAACTCGGTTTCTGCGCAACTCGCTCTATATCACGGTTTCTGCGCAACTCGGTTTGTGCGCCCGTCGGCACTCTGTTTGTGCGCAACTCTGTTTGTGCGCAACTCGGTTTGTGCGCCCGTCGGCAACTCGGTTTGTGCGCAACTCGGTTTGTGCGCCCGTCGGCAACTCGGTTTGTGCGCAACTCGGTTTGT